AGGTCTGCTACCTGCTCCTTCTGGCCTCCGCCCCGAAGCGGCGAGCAGGGCGGCGAGTGCCGCGGTGGCAGGGGGCTGCAGGGAGCGATGGATGGGGACACACCGGCACCGGGCTTTTTCTGCCGTCCGCTCCACCGGTTGCCGCAGGGCGAGCAGCTGGCTCGTTCTGCTGTTCCCTTCGAAGCAGTACGCCAGGAATTCGCATACAGCGTGCTTCATACTGTGAACTACAGGATGCATTGGAAGAGGAGGCTCATAAGCCACGAGGCACATCATGGGTGTGCCTTTTTCCTAGCTTTAGGTAGGGCATTTTCACTCTTTGGCTTAGGGCATTGATTTTCAGGAGGAGGCCTGAGCTGTTTATATTTAGTAGGAACTCATGCAGCCGAAAGCGAAAACACGTTACAAAGAAAGGGAGGGCAGTTTGGATTTAGCTGGGAGGTGTAACGCATGCTGACAGTGGGTAACCCCAGAGCGATAAGAAGTGTTTTGGGATGCGACAGCTAGAGAGGGGCTATCGGGGCTAGAGGAGAGAGGGCATGGGACAAAGGTGCTGCCACCAGCATTGCATGCAGGTGGTCATGTAGACTTCTGTCTGGTAACAGCACCTCCAAGAAGCACATTTTACCCACAGAACAGGTGAATTAGACAGCAGTGTATGGGCCTCAGCCTGCTTCATACAATACCACAAAGGTGAACAAGGATCAAGCAAAAGTATTTTTGTGTCTAGCATCCCAAAACTATTTGTAGAAGGAGATGGGACAACACATACTTTGCAGAGTAAGAACAATGCTTTTCTACTCAACTGTTAGGCAGGCTCTGGCCCACCCACAGAGGTTTAGGGACCCCCTTTCCTAGCAATAGGTGGTAGATCAGCTCCCTCCAGGGGGCTCAGCGCCTTCTGCTTCTACTAAAAACACCGGCCCTCTGTTGCTTGCTTCAATGGGAGCAAGCCTGGGCCTAGCAGGCAGACACCCACCCTGTTCTAGGATTGGGGTGAAATCCCTGTTCTAGGATTTCATTGCTAATCTGATAGGCAGCTACCTGTAATCTACAGACTGCATTCTATAGCCAGCTTTGCTGCTTACGGTGAATTTGAATCAAACTTACCCCACTTTGCATTGGGATAGGAATGGGATATTTAAATATGAATGCAAACCTCTGCTTCCCCAGCCCACTCTTACATCATGACTGTAGGAAGCCTACTGTGCTGTTCAGTAGTGCATGTGGAAACACATATGGATATAGTATCATACTCTAACTTCCACCACAGGAAAAAAACCAAACGCATCTTCATTAACTAAATTGCAGTAACAAGAACAGTTATTTGTTCTGTTCAAGAGCTTGGACAAGTGTTGAATCACAACAGCAGTAGGCTGTTCTGCTGCTTAAAACTGTTTGATGACTGAAACTCACACTCTTTGATTATTAGCTCTGAAGAGAGAAATAAGGATTGAGTATCTAAACATTTTTGCTATGGAATTATGGATTGGCACAAATGAAAAAAATCAGAATGCAGGATATGGGCAGAAACATTTACAAATGTGTGACAGGTACTAGATCTTCGCAAAGAACCAAGAGAATGCAGTTACTAGCAAGTGGAGTGTTGATGGCCACTGTCATTTGAGTTTTTACTATTCTGAGATGTTATTGCTGTGGAATTTTCTTTAACCTGAAGCTGAAGTTAGTATTTTAGCAGTTCAGGTTACTGTCCACATAGTTCTAGTCAGTTTATATGCCACTATAATCACTTCCAAATCATTTTACATTTCTCAGAATCTTGTGCTAAACCTCCCAGATTTTCTGGATTTCTCTATTTTAGAACTAGGGTTTAATCCGAGTTAACTGATGCAGTAGAACTCTATTGGTAAAAGTTTTCTGAATCTACAGTAACTGTTAAAGCCTGACAATGTTCTGCTAATTTCATAACTCAGTATAAGAATTCTCATAGCACTGAAAAGCTCAGCAAAAGAGCTGGGATTTGAATTCATTTCTCTCATTGCACCTCATCCTTTCTCAGACATGTTTAGACTCACCCTTGTATACTACTGCTATTGCCTTCTTCCATCTATTTACATACAAAGTGACACCTCACAAAAATATGTTGCAGTGATTTACTGTTGTCTCTCTATATTTTTAATTATCACTGGGATCCAGGAATAAGACTTTGCAGATGGAAAAAATAAAGGCACGACTGAAAGCAGAATTTGAAGCCCTGGAGTCTGAGGAGAGGCACCTGAAAGAATACAAACAGGAAATGGACCTACTGCTGCAAGAGAAGATGGCCCATGTGGAGGAGCTGCGACTGATCCATGCTGATATTAATGTGGTATGCAACAGTGCAGCTGCAGACAGCCTGACTAGGACACAGTTGTATATGAATCATTCAACAGGTTGTGGAATTGTGAACATCAGTGAACTACCACTGGTTCAATAATCTGGACTTTACAGCACCATCCTAGGATCCTAGAAAGAGTGCAACATAAATTTACCTCAGGATCATTTTTTTTGTTTTCCTGCTGGTGTTCAGCAAGATATTTTGTAGTGTTGGCATAGTAATCATTTGTGCCAAGAGGATAGATAACCAAGCCCATTGTGGCTATAACTTTACCAGTAGCCACAGTAACATCGCTCTGGCAGTCCCATAGAAAACCGTTCTTCCTGTTAAGTCTTTTCTCATTTAGCACATGGAAACAGAGAAGCTTGGGCAGCTAGGTGGGACTTTTGATGTGGAAGAAAAGATACTTGGGGAAAATACACGATCTTTGTTAAGTTCTTAGTAAGAGCTGACTTTCATCAGTGAGTGAAACAACAAAACATGAAGAAACACCAGCCTAAAGGGAATTAATACAAATTAGAGAAAAACAGTTTATAAACAAGGAAGATTAGCCAATTAGAGGGGATAAATGGGGAATCTGTTCCTAAACCTGCAGTTTTTATGTCATGTTAGGGCACTTACATGACTGTACAGTGGTTTCTAGCTCTGAAGGTACCTGTGCTTTGCACCAGAAGTAAAAAGTTCCCACACTGTAAGCAAGTACAAGCTACATACTGGATGTGCAGACTGCATTTATTTATCACTTGGAATGTCTATTCCCTTACCCAGCTGCATAACCTCAGTCTCTGTTTCATCCTCCCCTCTTCTTCCTGTCAGAATGTCTTTTTCTCTGCTGCATTTCCCATTTACTGCAGTAAGGGAAGCAGGA